GCTGCCTGGATGGGCGGGTCCTACAACTTTACTCCATGTACGGCTCTAATGCTGCGTTCATGTGCTGTCGGACAAATCGGAAAAATGAGTTCCCGAGTTGTAAAACGCACATGAACACCTGCTCAAGTCAGAACAACAACTCGGAAACTCGGAAAAGAATGAGGTGCATCTCGTGTTTATAAAAAAACGTAACTTTAGTATGAACATCGTAACATTATGTCTGCATTGTATGATTTGAAATATAGATCAGCATTGTAGATGTCTTTTAAAAATGTTCAGTCTGTAATAATCGTGTCTTTGTTCAATCACATAAAAATATAATCTGCAGAATAAAGAAACATCTATTCAACATTCAACAGAGTGACGATCTAACCAACTTTGCAACGATCACCAGGAGTTACCCCAAGTAAGAGCTTTGGTCTGGGCAGAAATAGTTTCAGAAATAGTTATGTTTCTTTTATAACCACTGATAATTATGCATCATTGTTGACTGAACGTCACATTCTGTTTATTATCTGTTATAAGCTGCTGCATTTGTTTTATTGTAATGAACAGCTGTGTTCACCTATGTGTGTAATGCTATGCTACTTTACCTTCAGTCAACGGCTTTCACAATCAGAAAGACCAGTGTACCCGCCGTTGAATCAAAGTCCGGCCACTGGCTTTCTGGTGTTTAAGTAACAGTTACTGAACTCAGCTCAGAGAGCTCAAACTATTTCAAAAGGCAGCCACATGGCTTCCTTTGTTGTCCACCATCTTGTTTTCTCTCTCTCTCTCTCTCATCCACACACACACACACACACACACACACACACACACACACACACACACACACACACACACACACAACTACACATTTACACCTCATCCACAAGCCTTTGCTTGATAATGTTTGTTGCTTAGATTAGTTTGTAATAGTTATTTGTTTAATTAAGTTCAGTGATTTTGGATTGATGTTGCTTTGTTTAAATAAATTCTGTTATAATTTAAGAGAGCAGTTGTTTGTGATTACTGGTGTATTTACATTGTGATATAAGCTGGGTGCGAAGGCTTTGTGTACGTATTTCACACCTTTAATTGATTAAATATAGTTATTCATATTTAATAATATTAGTCATTAAGTAACTAATTTGAGACTGATTTTAGTGGTATTTTGGTTATTTTTCAGTGATTTCAGGGTGGTGCCCCCGAGTTGATTAAACATAGTTTAATGATATTTTATTTATATTAATAATAATTAAATATAATTATTGAAGAATATAACCAAAGTTGACTTGATAAAACCCCAACATGTACTTGGCAATAAAACCTGAATCTGATTCTGATGATTAAACATGTCAGTGATTTGAAGATGATTTATAGCTGAAACTCTGAACTGTCTGGACTGGGTTAGGCATGCCGGGTAAAACCACACCATGGGGACGAAGCCAAGCTTAAGAGGAGAAGTCTTTGTGACACTGAAAGTGTTGGCTTTGGGCTCAAGGTGATTCGATCGTACAGGATTAGAGATATGACTCAACCAAAACCAGAGTAAATCAGTAGAGTAAATACATTTACTAATTAACTACTTAATTGGCTTAAACAAAGGAAACTTACAGAACATGTTAAGCACACAGTCAAAACTGTCAGGATTGATGGGGCATTCACATGCAGTCAGCCAGCAGAGTTTGCAGCAGGCGAGCTGGCTGCCTTTATCAGCTCTGAAGCCCTGCCCATGCAGGTAACAGATTCAGGAGAGTCAGAGAAGGAGGGGGGATTCCCCACAAAACCAGGTAGAGAAGGAGAGGGATTTTCTACAATATGTGAACAGCCAAAGTCAGGAGAATCTCCAGAGCAGTCCTCCGTTTTTATCTAGATCAGGGGTGGGCAACTGGCGGCCAACATCAACCTTAAACGTGGCCCTCAGGTTAATTTTTTACACATTATAATTTATACAATTATTTGAAAACATGAAGGAAACATGATGAAATCTGCCATAAAATCATGAAAACCAGAAATATGTCCATAATCATATTTGATCACTGGTATATGTTGTGTTAATTTGAGACATAATCGACTGTAATCATTTTTGTATTCTACAATTTGGCCCCCTGGCAGTGAGAATTAAATGAATGTGGCCCTTACTGTGACCAAAGTTGTCCATCCCTGCTGTAGATATTATCAGGATTTATTGAAACACACCTCAGTTAGGACACTTTTAAATGTTGAAATGTTTGCTGCAACTCGCCTCACTGACCAAAAACCATCGTCTGTAAATATGCCAAAAACACGTTGTTTCACTGGTTTTGACCGGGGGCTCTACTGCTGATGTAGATACTCACACATTAACCGAATGACTTCCCCTTCAGTTCTCAGAAACACTCAAAGTGAGGTGTCAACACATCTCAGACCCCTAAAACAACGTCTGAACTCTCAAACACGACGGACACTCAAAGTTGTATTCAGGAGGTCGAGGAGTTTGACCCTCCATGTTTTGTTCACTTTTTGCTCTCAGGGATCATTAAACCTGACTGTTTTTTTTATTTAAACACCATCTCAAGCGGTGGTTCTCAACTGGTGGGTCGGGACCCAGAGGTGGGTCGCGGAGCCATTTTTATGTGTGCCTGGTAAAAACTTGTGATGCACTTCTTAAACATGTTTGTTTTGTTCAGTTTCTTGATCCCCCCCCCCCCCTCCTCTCTAGAGTGGATGCTCACTCAGGTCACCATGTGGTGGACACTGAAGCTTCAGTGTTTATCCAGCTCTGCATAGGTCTGTCGGTTACACACACACACACACACACACGTACCTTCTCATCTTTAATAATATTCTTCATCGTCTTGTTCTCCTTCCTTTTCAACACTTCCAGAATCAGCTGCTTCTTACTGGTCGTACCAAACAAAAGTGGCTCCCACAGGTTTACATCTTCCAGGTCATACACCATATTCTACACACACACACACATTAGAAGAAAGCAGAGATGGATTATATTCTAGCAGTGCATTATGGGTAAGTTGTTGGAGACTCACAGTGCAGCCGTTTCTGCAGTCCTGCATGATGGCGTAGTAGTTGAGGTTGTTCCACACGCTGTCGATGCCCAGGAAGTGGTCGTGGTCAGTAGGGTATCTTTTTCCTGTCAGAGGGTCGATGAAGAAGTTTTCCTGTACGCTGTGGCTCCCTGAGAGCACGAGCACCCAGCAGTGTCTGCGCAGGCCCCGCAGGGGGTCAGGGGGTCGCTGCTCACTCTGCTGCTCACACACACACAGACCAGGTATGAACTCTCCCTTAAACCTTTGCTTACTCTTCTAATCTTTATTATAACGCTCTCATGGTCTATAGATTTGAGTTTTTATTAGTACAACCTCTCTGTGTTAAATTAAAGCTGCAGCCGTAACATCAATGATTTCACAGAAGAAGAATCACTGTACCTCCAGAACTTTCTGTTTCTGAAGCAGCGCCGCTTTAGCGTCATGTTTCTTCTTCTCTTGCTGCATCAAAAAAAGACTCTTCAGCTCCCTCTGTGGTTTGGGTGTGTATTTGTTGTCCTGTGGCTCCTGCTCTGACGTCACACTCTGCACAACATGACACACTTTGAAAGATTCTGTAAGTCGCACTGTGGGCTGTGGATGTTAGTTTATATGGACCAGAGCAGTGCCTACCTCACCTGTTTGTCCAGCAGGGGGCACTCCTGCAGACTCTGGTCCTGCAGACACATCTCTCTGACAGCGTAGCCGCTGACACAGTAGGCATCGTAGTGGGCGCCGAGCAGCAGGCTGCACAGCAGGGAGGCAAACTCAAAACATGTGGCTCTCTGACTCTGCAGCACCGAGGTGGAGGAGAAGAGAGTCCTGGGCTGGGACACATGATATCATTTAATAACCCTTTTAATAATAATAAAACACACAACATGTCCAAGAGTCTCTACATGTCTCCAAAAGTACAACAGCTATCTTCAGTTCTGTTTGAATCCAGAGCAGTTTGAAGAGAAGCAGCGGGGATCCATTAAAAACCTAAACTTATGTTTGTGTCTCTACAGACAGACAGGAGCAGAGGAGCTGACACTTCACAACAATGACAACATTAAGTCACGCCTACATTTCACTGTGTGCAGGAGTTTGCAGTATTGGATGCCTCAGACTTTTATTTCTGTTGTTCTGTTATTGATATGTAGCAGCCATTTTCTGGTTATTTGTTGTTTTGCATTTGTTTTTGTTGTTTGTGAACAGCAGGGGGCAGTGGGCACCTTGCCGAGCACATGGGTTGATTAGGAACCCTTTAAATGTTCTAGGTGTGTCACTGTTGGATGATGCACCAGGAAGGGACACATGTCAACGAGACAGGTCAATGGGATGCAGGTGATATTGATCAGGGAAGACTACATTTCTAAATCATTTTTAACTGTGTTTTTATTCACAGGTTATTGATCTTATTTACTCTCCATGTATCTTGATTTAAGAATGGGGCTGTGTTTAAGGGCATATTTTGCAATGACTCTGTTCCATCCCACTTTCAGAAATGAACTACATTAGTATTTATCAAAAGAATAAGAAGTTGTGTAAAAGTAGACTTCCTTCCCTAAGCTATTGAGTTGAGCATTAATGCACATTTTAGTCTTGTCATTTCAAATCTGAAACGTATACTCATAAGTAGACATTATTAATAATATTAATATTAATATTATTGTTATTACTACTACTACTAATAATAATAATATTATTATTATTATTATTATTATTATTAATATTAATAATAATAAAGACTCACCTTGTCTCACATTAATTTACCCGCCGTGTTGGCAGGATTTTGACTTTCCTGTTGACTTTAGTGAAACCGAGTGAAACTGTGAAGTTTGAGTGTCTCGCGTGTCCATGGTAACAGCAGGCAAGACGTGGTGACGTCATGCCGTGTTGCTTTCATGGGCTGTAGGAAACAATAGAACTAATGAACGGAACCACAAGAAAGACGATAAAAACGTCCAGTTAAATAAAATAAATCCTTTACTCATACTAAAATACAACAAGACATGCTCCTCTATAAGTAAAGGCAAAGAATGGAAAAGCTTTCTTTTCTAAAGAGTGTTTTTTATTTGTGTTTTAGCAGGTTGGGCTTCTTCTTTTACTTCACACAGAGAGGTTAGTGATCAGTTTCATATTTACAGTAATAATAAAGGCTCAATATAATAATGCTTTTATATTTATATATTCAGTCTTAATTCATTACTAAGTGTTGTATAAATGAAAGATGTAACAATTCAAACAACCAAAACAGAACATTTGAAATCAAGTTGATTAAAGTCAATAAAAGACAAAACAAAGTCTGAAGTGTCTCTGAAGGCAACTTCCTAACTGTCCATTAAACAGCTCTGCAGTCTTTTATCTGCTTCCTAAACTGTCCAGTTGTGTCGTTGTTAAAGAATCAAAGAATATTAAATCATTTCTCACCTTCTCTTCACACTGTTTCCTGTGCTGCTGTCATTTGAATTTATCCTCAACGAGGTACATTTCAATTTGATTTTACATTTACATTTTCTTCTGAGAGTCATTTGGTTATTTCTGCATGAAATCTCTAAAAGGTCAAACATGACTGACCTGATGTAAGATGTGTTCCATTGCACTCCACAATGCTGGAGGTCCAAGCTGAGGGTTTTTACTGACTCCGGTATTTAAGACCAATCAGATAATTTAAAGCTGCTCTGAAGGTTTCAGAGACTGATGACATGAGAGGTGAACATGAGGTCAAAGGTCAACATGAGGACCGAGATGGAGCTTTAAACATGTTGTAACTGTTAAGTGAAAAATGTGTGCTACGCTTTCCTCGACCGACTGGAAGTAAGTTTATATCAGCGCAGTGACAAATCAAAGCTTTAAATAAATACAGAAACTGATTTTTATATTGAAAATGGTTAAAAGGACTAAATAATCAACAAACAGCTGGATCTTATCAACGCTCTATCTCACTTCACAAAAAGAGAAAAACAAACAAAGTCTTTTCAACATTCGGGCGTTTCCTTCTTCTCCTCGCTCTCCTCCTTCTGGAAGACGTTTCCACCCGGCTGCCTCCTCCAGCTCAGTCGGATGTTTTCATGCAGCCCCTCGTCCCTCAGCTTCTGTCGGAGCTGACAAACACAAATCAAAATATTCTCCATCATACGTCTGTTCTTCTTCTCTGGACACGCCCCCAACCACCTTAAAGGGATACTTCAGCCGTTAAAACATGAATCTGCCTCTGCTGCAGCTGATGCATAACACCCGCCTGTCGGCACGCCACCACCGCCGCCGCCGCCGCCGCCGCTATATAACGGCTCGTTGAGATAACCACAAAAAACCGATTCGAGCACAAGACCTTCAAAATCCCCTTCATCCATCTCAGTTTAAAGTTGAAACATCGTCAGCTTTCTCCAAAGAGCCTGTTAGCATAGCTACCAAGCAATATGGCGGTGTGAGGTCCCACCCACTGATCTGTGATTGGTCTGCAGCTTCAGTTGTTGAAAACATGAGGAACTAGCGTTGTAGCTTCACCCCGCTAACCGCAACAGCTTCCAGTGACGCAAAATGACGATTTTTGCTTCATCAGAAGCTCCTTCTCAGACTCAGAAATACAAAGATTTCACATCTCAGGGGAAAATGAGGGCGGGATGCACGAGCATTCAGAAACACTACCAGGTTTCTAATGAAACAAAGATTAATGCTAATGGGTGAAGTGTCCCTTTAATTGTTTTTCTCGTTAGTAAACAGTTCAACCAAGAGATCTTTTTTTAACATCTTTCTGTTGCATTTGGTGGAACATGACTTTCTGCTTGAGGTGGATTTTCTCTCTGTAGAGGTTTGGACATGTAGCTCACTCCCTGCTCTGATAGGGTCAGCCGTTTCTATGACAACCAAGGTCACTTTGTGTCTCCTTCATGTCTGGATTGTTTGGCCGACTGTCTCCATTATCTGAGACGTTACGTTCTGGTACATTCACTGTATCACATGTGTTGTTAAGTCAGATTTAAACTACTTCCTCCCTCTGACTCTCCTGAGTCTTTGTCGTGTGGAGTTGAGTATCTACACATTCCCTCAACACCACTGAGAACACCAGCTTTGGAGAGAAACAGGAAGTATGTGCAACTATTAGAATGAATACAAAATCCCCATTAGGACCTCAAACCCATACTTCCTCCAACCACAGGAAGTTCAACCCTGAAAACTGCTGGAGGAGGAGTCAACAAACCATCAGAATATAAGTATCAGAGTTTATTGAGTCATTGTTTTCTGTCTCCATGATTTCAAATGGCTCTGAATCTGTTTCCTGTCTCTTAACATGACTTCCTGTGCTACTGTCATTTGAATATATCTTTCAGGGATCACTAAAGCCTCATGTTGTCTCATTTAAATTTTCTTCTGAGAGTCATTTGGTTATTTCTGCATGAAATCATAAAAAGGTCAAACATGATTCACCTGCTGCAGGATGTGTTCCATCACAGCAGAGTGGTTCAGATCCACAGAGGGGTTCTTCTTCTTCTGCACACTCACTCTGATCACCTGTTGAGTGATCCCTGAGAGGAAGACAGAAACATGTGTTCACATCAGTTTGGGTTTCCTTCAAAAGTAACATCCTCTGAGCACTGAGTCCACAACTTGCGGTCAATTATGGCTTAAATCCATCGCTTAAAACACAAACATCTGAATAATCAGATTGATTCAACCCACCTGCAGTGTAGCAGATGTATGATCTCTTATAGCCACAGGGCCAGTCCTCCCATTTCCCAAAGTTGCCAAAGTCTGCGGACACACAAGCCTCCTTTGAAAAGAGGTTATTAGGATCTGAGAAGCCCAGGTTCCAGTACCTAAACGAGGAGTTACTGCCATCCAACCACTTCCAGGTCTCTCTGGAGAGGCCGATCCAGACTGCCTGTAGAAAAGGGATCAGCTCCTTTATCTTCTGGTTCTCGTCCAGGTTTCTCACACTGGCCAGGTCTGTGTGGTGTTCTCTGCAGTAGCTCTGGGCCTCAGTCCATGACATGTCGGTGGAGATGAGGACAAAGGTCACATTTGGCCCTGAAGAGAAACCACAGCTCATAATCAAACATCACCATGTTAAAATGTCCAACTTTACAGCTACAGTTCCTCCAGTGTCCACTAGAGTCTGTCTCCTGCAGTGAGTCAGTCCTCATAGAGCTCTATGTTAAAATGTCTAACTTTACAGCTGCGGTTCCTCCAGTGTCCACTAGAGTCTGTCTGAGAGTTTGTTAAAGTGAAATGAGACATTCAAAGATGCAGCAGTGTCCTTCTTTAACATCACTGAGACTACAGGGAGACACTGAGGACAACCTTTAAGAAGCTGAAAATAAATAAAGCCGATGTGTTTCTAAGCTTATTTATCATTTATGAATGTCTCACCTGTGGCGTCGCAGCAGACTGACTTAAGGTTATCCATGCAATGCACATCGTTCCATAATCCGTCAAAATACATGGTTGTGCAGTGTTCTCTACTTCCTATGTTGTCAGGCATTCCTCCTGCCCACTGTCTGAACTCGGCCTCTCCATCGTCGTAGAAACTCGGGTCTGACAGTGACCAGCTCCAGCTGTCCACGTCGTCGTACAGACCAATCCAGGCTCGCTGAAAGCAACATGAGATTCATTTGACTTTGTTTGCAGCATCATGCTGTGATATATATACAGTATGTTCAAGTCTCAGAGACCTGTGGTTCTCAACTGGTCTCTCCTCAGGACCCACTCTCAACACTTTAAAGGTCAAACATTCTCCTCCTTTTTCAAAAAAGTGTAAATAAGTCTCAGAGCTCCTCAAAACATGTGTGTGAAGTTTCTTCTTCTAAATCCACTCTTAGAAGGACTTGGGTGTACTCGGTCTTTCTCTCTCCATGTCCTATTGTTTACGGTGAGAAGGCAGACTCAGAGGGCAGAACAAACACCTAGCTGTGGGAGTGTCACCCACCTGGGGGAGGAGCTACTGCCCTTTGTGATGTCATGATGGCAGACTCAGAGGGCAGAACAAACACCTAGCTGTGGGAGTGTCACCCACCTGGGGGAGGAGCTACTACCCTTTGTGATGTCATGATGGCAGACTCAGAGGGCAGAACAAACACCTAGCTGTGGGAGTGTCACAGTGTCAGTTGAGAACCACGAGGTCACAAAGCTGCTCTCATTGGTTCTGCTTAAGTGTACTCAGGCCCTAAATGGAAACACTCACATAAAGTATAAGTTCTGGGTTAGGTTGGAAACCTTATCTGCTCACTCTGCACCACTGAAAGTCAAATGTGACACAAAGGTTTGGTGACCTATAGTGACCTTACATTGCCGTCGACAATCTGCCACATTTGGCTTAGATCGGCCATGCCCCTCAGGGTGTCCACGTCCTCCATGCTGGTTATGGTGGCCAGGTCTGTGTGTTTGTCTCTGCAGAAGGCCCGGGCTTCATCTCGGGTCTTGTGGTCATAATTAAAAAAGTACCGTCGTTTCACTTGTGGTGACTCTGCACACAGTCCTGTAAAGACGTACACATGGATCAGTTAAAGGTTAAAGGACGAGATGGTCTCATGTTTCTTAATAATTTTATTGAGTTAGAGGCGTCTGAGTGTTAAACTCTAGTTATTATCATATCGTCCTCTTTCTCTCACTGTGGGTCAGCTGTATCTCTGTCTCAACATTTTCAGTTTTTTTAATTTTCTAACTTTTTCTAAATTGACTCACTTCAAACATTTCCTTTTTTAAATACTTTTTCAAATGTAGGGTTGTCATGAAAAATAACGATCTCCTCCAGGAATGATTGATAACTGTGGGTCCTAATGATGAGTCTCTGCTCCTGCAGCCAGTCCTAGTGGACACTCATGGAACTGCAGATTTTTGCTCTTCCACGGTATCTTCATTTCTTTTAAGACCTGAGCCGCTTGGTCAAATACGATCAAATAATGTTTCCTGGGGTTTTCTTGCCGGTAGTTTGTGGCCAACTTAAAAGTTGAAGACAAACATCCATGAAGGTTTGTGATGAAGTTTAAAATGTTTTACTTTCTTATATTGAAAACTTTGAAAGAATGAAGTTTCCTGTCTAAAATGCCGACTGCCTTTTGGGACAGTCAGGGTAAAGTAGAGAGGGGTTAGAAAGTTAAAGAATCATCTCCTGACTCTCTCCTCCATCTTTCTTTTTCAACCTTTTTAACTCTCCGTCTGTGAAATCTTCACTGAGCGTCTTCATCCGGCTTTTTAACCTTGAACATGACGCCTTCATGAGTCTGCAGAGCAGCAATCGTTCACCTGAGGTTCATAAAGCACTAGAAGAGATCCACTCAAGAACACTGAAGAACGGACGTCAACATGTTTAACATGTTAATAAATAATATAAATAAAGACTGACTGTATGCTCTGTGACGAACAGACATGTTAACAATATAAATAAAGACTGACTGTATGCTCTGTGACGAACAGACATGTTAATAATATAAATAAAGACTGACTGTATGCTCTGTGATGAACAGACATGTTAATAATATAAATAAAGACTGACTGTATGCTCTGTGATGAACAGACATGTTAATAATATAAATAAAGACTGACTGTATGCTCTGTGATGAACAGACATGTTAACAATATAAATAAAGACTGACTGTATGCTCTGTGATGAACAGACATGTTAATAATATAAATAAAGATGTACACTGACTGTATGCACCGTGTTTATTAATCAAACTTCATAAATGAAGACTTGCCTGAAGCAGCGACGGTGAAGAGCAGAAGAAGAAGAGCGTCCATCTTCAGACTGGTGTCTTCTGTTTGAGACGTCGTCGGGATCTTTTCCCCTGATGGTGATTTGAATATTTACATATCAGGGAAATGATTTGATAATCTGATGTCATGTTTCTGGGCAGCAGCCGCACACAGTCGGGTAACGTGACATTAATAAATGAAACTGTGGAGATTTTTATTTAAAATATTGAATATGTATCATGACATGTAAAGAGGGTTAGGGTCATTTCAATCAAAACAGTCAAAAAGGTGGGCTGTTGGCGTCATCACAACCTGCAGCTGTCCATAAGTCAAGGGTTCTCTCCCCTGGACCAACACAATAACTAAAGGTAGATAATAATAAGTATGTATATTTAGAATCTACTACAAACACAGGTTTGACTTTAAAGATTTTAAACACTCACAAAATCTTCAATCCATCAGTCCTCACTCTTGAAACTCCTCCCCTTTCAGGGCGCGGTCACTCTGGCCATCCGTACCGTGCCCAAGCACGCTTCAACCCCTACAGTCCACAACGCTGACAGCCTTCATTATGAAGTGTTCAGTCTGTATCTGACTAACACGACTCAAAGTAAAGACAGGAAGTAGCTGTCATGTTCTCCGATGTGCGGACGCCGGTCCCCTAATGGGGAGGAAGGGGGGGCAATCGTGCTTAACCACGGTACGACAACATCGCCAGTGTGGCCGCGCCCTAAATGAGTCTGAAGCGCCCTGTGGGATAAAGTCTGAGACGTTTCTTATTTCAGAGACTCAAAGTGACCGGATCAGATTCATGTGTAGTCTGTGGATCTGTTGGAAAGAAACCCATGAAGAAGAAACACTCGTTCACCTGAGGTTCTGATCCTCCTGTAGTCTTCATGAGTCTCAGGAACTCTCTGAGGAGACTTCACCGTCGCAGCTTCGACTCGTTTGGTGCGTTCCAATGTTTTGTGTTCAATGGAAGGGGATGAGCAGACTAGAAGAGGCTGCAGCGGACTGGAAGAGGCTGCAGCAGACTGGAAGAGGCTGCAGCAGACTGGAAGGGGATGAGCGGACTGGAAGGGGATGAGCGGACTGGAAGAGGCTGCAGCGGACTGGAAGAGGCTGCAGAGGACTGGAAGGGGCTGCAGCGGACTGGAAGAGGCTGCAGCAGACTGGAAGAGGCTGCAGCTGACTGGAAGAGGCTGCAGCGGACTGGATGGGGATGAGCGGACTAGAAGAGGCTGCAGCAGACTGGAAGGGGATGAGCGGACTGGAAGGGGATGAGCGGACTGGAAGGGGCTGCAGAGGACTGGAAGGGGCTGCAGCGGACTGGAAGAGGCTGCAGCAGACTGGAAGAGGCTGCAGCTGACTGGAAGAGGCTGCAGCTGACTGGAAGAGGCTGCAGCGGACTGGATGGGGATGAGCGGACTAGAAGAGGCTGCAGCAGACTGGAAGGGGATGCGCGGACTGGAAGGGGCTGCAGCTGACTGGAAGGGGATGAGCGGACTGGAAGGGGATGAGCGGACTGGAAGAGGCTGCAGCGGACTGGAAGAGGCTGCAGCAGACTGGAAGGGGATGAGCGGACTGGAAGGGGATGAGCGGACTGGAAGAGGCTGCAGCGGACTGGAAGAGGCTGCAGAGGACTGGAAGGGGCTGCAGCGGACTGGAAGAGGCTGCAGCAGACTGGAAGAGGCTGCAGCTGACTGGAAGAGGCTGCAGCGGACTGGATGGGATGAGCGGACTAGAAGAGGCTGCAGCAGACTGGAAGGGATGAGCGGACTGGAAGGGGATGAGCGGACTGGAAGGGGCTGCAGAGGA